TAAAGAATCGATAAATATTTTCTCTATTAATCAAGTGCTAGTTCTCTAGCACAACAGAGCCTTTAAAAAAATGCCGTTTTCTTATCCCTAATTGGCACAACTAAATCATCTTTAGAAGACAGAATGGACAAGTTATCCAAATAAGAGTCAATGTTTTCGCCCTACTTGACCTGGAAAAATCAAAGGAAAAACTTAAAGAGGAAAAATAAAAATGTTAGAAGAACATCTGACTGTGAAAAATATTTCAGATATAAATAAGGAAAAAAAAAACTCTACTCGCCAGTTTAATAGCTACTTTTTTTGACAAATGGTGTGAGCAGAACACGGCCAACAAAACACAATTACCATGAATGTATGTATGTATGTATGTATGTATGTATGTATGTATGTATGTATGTATGTATGTATGTATGTATGTATGTATGTATGTATGTATGTATGTATGTATGTATGTATGTATGTATGTATGTATGTATGTATGTATGTATGTATGTATGTATGTATGCATGTATGTATACTTGTATATATATGAGTTTAAATGTGCTGTTAGTATGTTGTGTGTATACGCTGGTATGGGTGTGTATGTGCTGGTAGTTAATGTATATTCATCAGAAGTGTACTTTCTAAAAGTTGTGCATTCTACTAAAGTCGTTACAAAAAGTACAGGTGAAAACAATTATTTATGAGACACCAAGTATACTCTTGAGTGTGAATAATTCTAATTTTAGCTATTTATTGCATAATGGTTTTCCTAAAATGAACTAAATGTTATTAAAGAATTATTGAAATCGAACACTATATAAAATAATAAAATGTATTATTTTCAAAAATTGAATTATGATATTTTAAATTGCTAGTATGAAAAAAACATGCTCACAATAAAAAAAAAGAAAAAAATTTTGCTTGGAAAGGTTATTTGATTGATTGCTACAATCAACGTAAATTTCGTTAACCTTCTAAACCAAGCAAGTTCATCAGCTCTACCAGTTTAACGAATGATTACTGATAAAACCGGTTGATATATAAAAAAAAAACAAAAAAAAACTAGAAAACATTAAAGCTCTAAATCATATTTGATATACTGCAAAGTAAACTTGAACACTATGGCATTAGAAGTAAAAATTTACTTTGGTTTGAAAATTATTTAATTTTATTTTATTTGCAGATGACTCTAATCTCTTTTATTCATACAAAGATATTAATACACTTTTTAAACATGTTAATGAACAATTAGATAAAGTTAATGAGTGGTTTGTAAGTAACAAACTTTCTCTGAATGCAGATAAAAATAAATTCATTTTATTTCAAAAATTGAATAAAACTGATAACGTCCCATTAAATTTACCAAATCTTATTATAAACATTATAAATAAAGCTATAATTAAAAGTGAATCATTGGTAAATTTTTTAGGCGTTGAATTGGACGAAAGTTTAAAATGGAATTTTTATATAAACAGCCTTGAAAAAAAAAATTCTAGAAATATAGGAATATTCTTTATTAAGTACAAAAACATGCATGTCGAATTATATTTGGAGAAAATAGAGCAGAACCCTGTAAGCCTTTATTGTGTTTACTTATGAATTTACATGAAATTTTAGTTTTTATGTATAGAACTATGCTAGGAATGTCGCCAAAAATATTCAAATCTTGTTTTAGTGAAATCTGCCATAATTATTGCACAAGATTCTCAGTAAACAACTTTGCTGTCCCAAGATATAGTCTAAAATTGAGTTCATACTCAATTAAGTATCGTGGGCCGTATTTATGGAATTTGTTTTGAGATATTACAAATAAAAAGAAGATCACTTTTGATCGATTTAAAAAAGAATCTAAACGGTTGTTCTTAATTATGGATCTCACTTTTTATTACAAGTATTTATTCGTTTTTTTTTTTTGCAACTGCAGCTGCATTCTTTTTCTTTTTGCAACTGCAGATAAAGTAAGCATTTTAGCAATTACGCCAATATAATATAATATTTATATATCACGATTTTATAAAAATGGGGCTCGGTGATAAGACGGAATTATGTCTTCTTCTTGCTCCAGCCATTACTTATTTTGTTGTATATACATGAAAATTGTATTTATTGTAGAAAGTGAAACAAATATACAAAAAAAAAAAAAATTAGCAAAATCATTTCAGTCAGCTTGAGCGGTTTCTCGTTAACAAGAAATCACGGTCTTCTACGAGTTTTCCGTTTCTATATTATGCTATCTTTATTTTCTAACGATATCTTTATTTGTAGTTAATTTAAATTAATGTAAGATAACTTTTTATTTTACTAATATTTGTATAAAGATTGTAATATAAAAAAAAAAAAAAGTTTCAATATAATCAAAAACACCGACAGAAAAGACCTTTTTCCTAATATATGGATAGTAGATGTGGATAGCACAAGGCATATTGCTAACAATTTTAATGACGGTGGCCAGCAGTGAACGTAGTTTCAGCATGTTGAAGTTAATCAAAACCTACCTACGTACATCGATGACGCAAAAAAGATTGATTGTTTGAATGTATATATATGTATATATATATTTATCTTTATGATAAATTGGTAAAGGGTGTAAGTATTAAAGTATTGGTGACAGCACAGAAAGTTTATATACGCGACTATTACTGGAGGGAGGGGGTGCCGTAACTACGTTAGCCCCGGGCGCCACCAACCCAAGGGACGGTCCTAGATGTAGCACATATGATACATTATATATATATATATATATATATATATATATATATATATATATATATATATATATATATATATATATATATATATATATATATATACATATATATATATATATATATATATATATATATATATATATATATATATATATATATATATATATATATATATATATATATATATATATATATATATATATATATATATATATATATATATATATATATATATATATATATATTTATATGTTGCTGGTCTCATCTATACAAAGTGGTGAAGTAGATACCCTCCATTGAGCACAAATTTTAAGACAAGTATTGTTTTGTCATATGGCACAATTGATTCTATTGTATCACATAGAAAATAGAATTTTGAGTATTCTTCTGGAGACATTCTGGACTTAAGCAATAACATCTGTTGTAAATATAAATAAGTAATTAGCGGTTTATGTTGGAACAAAGACTTTATAAACGTGCCTTTGAAGCCTCAAAAGAATTACATTTGAGAAGTAATAACTTATTAACGTGCTATGAACCGCGCGTTCTCAGACGCATTGGAATTGAAGTTATAATATAGTTTACATTGTAATTAGTTTTTCAGATTCACAGTCAGTTGGTGAAAAATATAATAAGTTGAAAGAGAAGTAGTTCCTTTAGTGTCACTTGGAAACAAGAATAAATTCTTTACAATTACAATTAATATGATTATTAATAAATTAACTTAATTTAAATTTCAGTTTAGAAACGTAGAGTTTATCAGAGAACAAACTTCACTCATTAAACAGTTAAAAATTGCTACATTAAATGTTCTACATTAGTTTCAATATATAACAAATACAACATAATGATATAACAAATAATTTCTAATTTCAAATGAATATGAACACACAACATTGTAAAGTGTATTAATTATAGAGTTTATTTTGGCCGCCATGTTTTAGCTGTTTAGCTCAAAAATAAAAAATGTTGAAAAATAAATTTCTTGACCTCAAAAACATAATACTAGATGCAAGAATCATATTTCTTAATCATCTACAGGCTGAGATATTTCAAATATCATTTTGGACGCTATCTTGGATTTCAGACAAAGCTCTTGTCTGAATTCGGCCCATTTTATGAAAAATTAATGAGTGCGTGCTAAACATTTCCAGCAACTTTCAGCTTGCTTCTAATTTTTTCTAGGTAACATGACAACTTTTGCTAATTTTACTGAGCTATATGCTGTTCTTTGAAAATGGGCAAGCCAGCCTAACATTTGTAGGCTAATGCATGATAGATAGTTCAAAAGAAAGTAATGTAGGCATTAAAATTATACTTGATGATGGAAATTTTATTTCTGCATTAAAAACATTCAATTCAGTAACACAGACATGTTTTGTAAAGGTCCTCAATCTATACAATATATGCTTTTTTTTTTTTTTGAAAATACATAGAAATGACATAGCCTAGATAAAATCTTTGATTAAATATTATTAAAACCATTAAAATATGAAACTTTCAGATTTTTGATCAGTAAAGCAGATTAAAAGACATCAACAACATCGAAAAAAGAACTTGTTTTTGATTTCTGAAAACATTAGTGTTTAAAATTACACAGTATTTAGGTAATTTTATTTGTCATACAAGTGCTAATCACTATTTAAACACCGTTTTAAATTAACTACCCCTCCATAAACATAATACAAAAGAAATGAAATCTTAGTATATAAGTTAATTTTTTTAATATTGTGTGATAAAATTTTAAACTTTATTTTACCCCTTTACTACAGCTTACTCTATTTTATTTAGCATTAAAGATAATATTTTTTCTTACAGGTTGTTGAATAAATTTGTGTAAATTTAAAACCAGAGTTGTTAACAAGGCCAAAAGTAGCAAGGCCAAAGCTAAGGACAAGGCAATATGTTACAAGACAAAGGGCAAAAGTTACAAGGCCATGGGCAAGGCCAAGATTAAGAGTTTCAAGGCCAAGGCCTACGCAAACATTTTCAAGACCAAAGACTTCCATTTTGCCTAACGTTAAAGCCAATTGTTAACAAACTGTAAATAGCAAGTGCTGTTACAATACAAACACATTTTGTAAAAACAGACCAAAGTTATGCGCAGAATTCAACGAATTTAATAAAAAAATATGTATTTTTTTTTTCAGGCCAAGGCCAAAACAATCAAGGCTAAGGCCAACAGTTTCAAGGCCGAGACCAAGGCCAAGGCTTCAAATTGAGGCCTTAAGGCAAGGCCAAGGATTAACAGCTCTAAAACTTAAAAAAAAAAAAAAATATTAAGCGGAGACAAAGAAACAAAAAACTTACTTCTTTCGCATTTAATGATGACATCATTACGCTCACAAAATATTAATCCAGATTTTAAGTCGCTCCATGTTTTGTCTGGGTTTTTTTCACACCAACTATTAAAAATTTCAAAAATTTGTTCTCGTGCTGTTTTGTACTCGTGTAAAACTTTATCTATTTCGTCGTTAGTAATTTTTAGGAAACGAGCTAACTTGATCCAGTCCTTTGGCAACTCGTCAGCAAACGTATTAAGGACATCGCTCGAAAGTTTTTCAACTAAAGGATATAAATATTTTTGATACAAGAAATAAAAAATATTGGGCTTTTTCAGAAAAAAATTACCTTTTAAATAATCAAATTCAAATTCGTTGTGTTTGTCTTGATTTAATTCCAGTTGATTTGCCATTTCTTTAAAAGCTATTAATGATAGAAATAACAGTATTTTATAAACGGAACGTAAATAGAAATGAAGTTGATAACGTCAGTAATAAAATTAGTAAATTACCGTCCTCAACTCCTCTAAAGTACTAATAGAAATGTTAATATTTTAGAGGCGTGTGAGATATTAATAATATTGTAAAACTATAACTAACAATATATGGAACTGCAAGTGCTTCTGTCGAATTCTATTTCAATTAGATCTATTAATAAATTTTTTTGTTAATATTAAGTTTAAACTATTTTAAATTTCGAAATAAAACATTGTTTTTTTTTAAATTTCAAAATAAAACATTGTTTATTTAGGAATTTATAAAAACTAAACAATTATATTTATATAAAAGAGATAAAAAAAAAAACCGTTGACCAATCGTAACATTAATATTAAAATCAAATAAAAAATAATATTCTCACAATTTAATCGTTAAAAGGTAATCAATAAAAAATGATATAAAACTTTAAAACTACCTTTTTATAGAATAATGAAAATGGCGTATGATCCTCCGTATAATATAAAAACTTTTATCAACACGAGTTTACAACACAAATTAACTAATTTGAAGTATAAGTCAATAAATTTTTACCATAAGTGGTAAAAAATTATAAGAAATAAAAGCAGAGATAATCCCTTTTGATTTTATGAATAAATTAAGATCTTACAAGATATTTTGATTAGAAATTATAAAACATCACGTGATAGTTTGTGAAAATCACATTGTTGAATAATATAATATATCTATCGTATAATCTATCGTAAATGATTTACATTGCTAGGGTGTGGGGACTAGTGAACTGCAAGAAAAGAGTTCTGTCATGGAGAAAACTGTATGCTGAGTAAATTGTCCGGTAGGAAATTTTACTCCGGAGTGAAACGTCCTAGTTTGTCTTATCAGTCCGTTTAGGCCAAAGCTAACTGTCCTACGTAGGAGCATAGTCATAAGAATAAATAGTCTGGCCGTTTCTATTATTTTACCGTTTTATGTAGATAATCGTATCAACAACCCGCTGAAGGTGCACAAAAAGATCAACAAAATTTTAACATTTTCCATAAAAGTTTGAACTGAAGATTGGTTTTGAGATTTAATGTGGTTTTTGAACTTTTTTTTTAAAATTACATTTAATATTGCAAACTTTGTTTTTTGAAATAATAAAATTTAAGATATATATATTTTTTAAAATAACAAACTTTATAAAAACATAATAGAACATTAAAACTAAGATAAAACAGAAAAAAAAAAAAAAAGTAAAAAAAAAAGTAATAATTAAAAAATAACACATAAAATGTGTTTAAAAAATACTCTAAAGTTTTCAATTAAGAAATTATTACTGGAAAATAAAAATAAAATAAGTTAGCAAAAAAAAAAAAAAAGAAAAAAGAGGAGTAAAATAATTTTGGGAAAGATTGCTAAATGATGTATGTCAGAAACTGAGAAAATGCAATTTTGTTTGCTGTTTAAACGAGGGCATATCATTTGTCTTTTATACTCTAGTATATTTTATTTGATTCCATAAAATCGGGCCTTGAGTCGTTATAGAAAATTTTGAGTCATTTTAAAAATTTTTTTACAGTTTTCTGAATCTGAATAATAGTCTTAGTCATTTGACCAAAAAAATTTTGAGACAATTTAAAGGAAAAAATTTTGGAAAAACGTTTATTTTTGTACTTATGCATAAATATTTATGCATATATATTTATGCATAAGTATTTATGCTTAAATATTAGGATATGTAAAGAGTTTAATTTAACTATATCTAGAACATAACTTGATTACATGGGTACCTTTTATTACATGGGAATTTCATTACATTACATTATCTTATTTATTTAAATAATTTATTACTTTACATCCATGGTTTTGGAAACTTTGTTATTTTTTTAATTTTTATTTTGTGAGTCCATGCCCATACAATATTTGTGTATGAAATATGACTATGAACGAGGGAAAAGTACAGCATTTTTTGTGATTTAATATCATGAAAAGATCTTGATTTACATAGCACACCTATTGCAGAGGATAATTTGTTTCCATTAGAGCTAACAGAAATTTTCTCTAAGTATTTCTTTTTTATTGATAAACAATTTTGGTTACTTTAAAGGAAGGTAAACAGATTGTCTTGTTTTATAAAACAAAGTATTGCTGGTTTTTCCATAATTCAAAGACAGTTTATTGGCCCTAAAAAAGACTTTTAATTCAATATGCATGGTTTCGAACAGTACCTTTGTATCAGAATGATTGAAGATCAGGTTAGTATCGTCACCAAACATATCATTGGTGTATATAAAAAATAATAAATAGTTCCAGGATTGATACCTGAGGGACATCACACACTTTATCAAGAGCTCCTGAATTTTGCTCCATAGCTTTTAATCCAATTATAAGTCAGACCAAAAATACCATAAAAATTTAGTTTTTTAACATAAAATACTATGATCCACAGTATTAAATGCTTTGGAGAGATCGATGAGTACTCATAATACTAATTTCTTTTTATCAAATGAAGTGGATATTTCACTTGCAATTTCATCTATAGCATGTTCCGTAGAACAATATTTTTGAAAACCAAATTGATTTTTAAAACAAGATTGTATTTATTGTCAAGTAGTTAAAAACTGTATTGTAAATGACCCTTTCAAATATTTTTGAAAATAAAGGAAGAAGAGAAATTGGACAATAGTTTGAGACAGTGAATGTATCACCTTTTTTTAAGATCGGATGAATCTTAGCTAATTTTAATTTATTAGGAAAAATACTATTATCTAAAGAAGATCCAATCAAGTAGAATAAAGGTTTTCTAATACTATCAATAACATAGATAGCTACATTACTAGTAATATCATCATACCCATTGATTTGTTAAGTTTAAGTTTGGTTAGTGCTTCGTTAAACTCAGTTGTAGCTATTTTTTCATTAGATATATTAGAACTGGGCTTCTCTATCAAAAATGAAATAAAATTTTTAATTGGATATAACGTATTTGATGCGAGAGACGACCCTACATTAACAAAACGTTTATAAATTTTTGACATATGTTTATTTCATTTGTTATAATTTTAAGTCATTTTTGTGGCAAGCAGGCGGTTTTATTTTTTTCTCTCGATAACTTTATTGATTATGGATCATGTCAGAGATGTAGGTCTCGAGACCAAAGTATTGGTCTCGAGACGCCTGAAGACTCATATTTTATTGTCTTGGTCTTGGTATTGGTCTTGAAGCTTAAAGTCTTGGTCTTAAAGTATAGAGTATTAGTCTTGGTCTTGGTCTTAGACCTCTACTGTCTTTTACTTTCTTGATTCTTACAAAAAATATCAACTCAATAGGCCGAGTTAATAAAAATGAGCAATCACTTTTACTAAGTAATTGGTCCGCATTACGTGAATAATAACTTTATTAATCTTGGTGAAATTTTCATTTACGTATGGCTGAGTAATTACTGAGTAAATTGCTTAACTTTACGCGAATAAAAATTTGAGGAAAACTACTAAAGTTTTTATTCACTGTAAAGCTGACCAATGATTAAGTAAAAGCAATTTCCCGCTCTCAACGATAATTGAGATGTTAGATGGCTTTGTGATGGTAGTACGTATTTGTTATTTATATCACAGATAAATTTCCGAAAATTTGAATACTCGACAAGAGATAATGAAAGTGAGCATCCAACAATAAGGTTTGCAACTGTCTGTAATTTTAATTTGGTAAGGATGTTGCGATCCATACAAACAATTCTGTTTTGTAAAGAATGTGTCAGTATTTATTTATTTGCGATTGAAACTATTATGTTTTTGTGCCACATACTCTGCGTGTTTTTCAGGGTGAACATTACTATAATATCTAAAATAAAAAAAGTTGAAAAGTAAAATATACGTGTTATATATATATATATATATATATATATATATATATATATATATATATATATATATATATATATATATATATATATATATATATATATATATATATATATATATATATATATATATAGGGGAAAGCGGGACAACATGGCGAATGGGGCAAGATGGGTTTTCATATAACAACTCAATAAAAAATCTTAAAAATGGGTGAAAATGAAACTGTATTTGCATTTTGTATTTTAAAATACCAATTGGTTTTTTGAAATATTATTAACGCAATTTTATACGCATAAGTTTACTTTTTGCGCCTAAAAAAAAATTCCTCACTTTCGGTTTCTCATAACGGATGTCCTTCAAGTTTAACTTCTTTAGAAGTAGTTTTTGGTGATTTGTGTTTATTTTTCGTTACTTTAGTTAGAGTTATTGGTAGTTTTTAAAATTTTATAAAATTGGAGGTAAAAATTGAATAATAAGTCATCTTGCCCCGGTCACGTGACCAGATGACAAATTTATGAACTTTTTATTTTAATATTTATTTCAAATTGTTATATTTGCAAACGGAAAATTTATGCTGGGAATAAATCATTTTAATAACATAAACATACTCAGAAAGTATTATTGCTTCACGACTGATAGTTTTGCAATAACGCAGGCCTTTCAAAACGTTCGCCATGTTGCCCCACTTTCCCCTACAAGTAGTACAAACTTGTCTGTTTAACCTCTTACATAAAGTACTTAAATAAAAATGTATTAACGTTACTTGAACGGGTCATTTGAGAAATAACTTATGTAAAAAAAAACCGAGGTGAATATGGCTAAAGATGAATCTGAAATATCAGCCACAATTAAGTTGATTCTGCTTAAGATTAAGATATACAATATAATATGTCATTGTCTCAAGCATTGTTCATGGTCTCAAGCATTGTTCATTGTCTCAAGCATTGTTCATTGTCTCAAGCATTGTTCATTGTCTCAAGCATTGTTCATTGTCTCAAGCATTGTTCATTGTCTCAAGCATTGTTCATTGTCTCAAGCATTGTTCATTGTCTCAAGCATTGTTCGTTGTCTCAAGCAAAATCAATGTAGTTGTGTAGGGATTGCGGCTGATATCTCAGATTTATCTTCAGCCATATTCAACCCGGTTTTTTTTACTTATTTTGTTTCTGAAATAACCCATTCACTTTATTTTTTGTTACTATAGTATATGGCTACTGGTTTACTATGTCTGCTATTTGTTTTAAGACATTTTGTGTTGGTATTTTTTGTTTTTAACATTACAAAAAAAGTTAGGTTGTTATTCCTGTTATTATTACTGAAAGTTTTCTGTTATTATTAAATATATCTTTTGTAGACTGCAATTATATCATACACGCGTAACTTTTTTGATACGAACAAAACCCAATCAATGAGTTAAGAAGATCCAGCATTTAACATTCTAAACTGGAAACAATGAATTAATTCAATATAACATATTATAAATCAATCTCTACGTTAGCCAAATAAATAAAAAAGGGGTGCAAAGCTGGTCAACAAATAGAACCTTTTTTCTCCTTACATATGAAGGCAAGTTATTTTCAGGCAAATATTATTAAATTTTTTTGAAAAATATTCGAAAAGTTGTTAAAGGCGCTATTTGGATCTAAAGAATTATAAACCCATTTTTGATTATCCAGTTTATTTTTTAGTTCATCTAGATTATGT